GTTACTAAAAAGAAATCAATGATAGGAATTCTCTTATTTCTGGAGAAGAAGTAAGAGTTGGTTGTTAGGAACGCATGCTAATTAAAGCTAATTTCTATCATATAACTAAGAAGTTACTACGATTTATAGGAAAGACAGTTGGGCTAGAGTGAGAATTATAGTCCTGTCTCTACCACTTTCCAGATGTGTAAGCCATTTCAGATCTCTGAACCTTTGTTTCTTCATTTGTCAAATGAAAGGAGTAAGTCTTCCAAAATTTTGTGTATCTATATGGGTTCATGCTCCTTTTAAAAATAAAGCTAAATGCTGTTGAACAATTAGAGAACTTACAAAGAGCTTACTGGTTTGCTTGGGTTTGACTGTCAAGCTCTAGAAATCAGGCAAGAGACCAATGTGTGCTGCTGGGAGTTAGATGCAGTCAGGGGGTTAGATGCAGAGACTTCAGCCTGGGCTTTAAAGGATGGGCAGGCTTGGAGGAGTAAAGGAGATGGCCTGAGCAAAGATACGTGAGGGAAGTAGTCTGGTGACTACTACAGAGCTGCTGAGAAGACTAATAGGAATTGAGTGTATTAGTGAGTGAAATAATAGTGAAAATAAGTAATGACTGGATTATGGAGAACCTTAAAAAGTCAGACAAAGATGTCTGCACCTGTTATAAGAGGGAGTCAAGATAGGTTCTTTATTATTTTTTTAATTCAATTAGCCAATATATAGTACATCATTAGTTTCAGATGTAGTGTTCAGTAATTCATCAGTTGCATGTAACACCCAGTGCTCATTTAGATCAGTTCTTGATCTAAGTTAAGAGAATTGCTTTAGTATTCCTATATAGGATAGAATGCAGAAGGGCAGGCTAGGTTAAGGGCAAGAATTTAGACAGAAATGATTGGGGCTTGTTCTAAGATTGTGACATTGGGATTAGTAATTTCAAGAGACCTCTTTTAGTTATGAAAAATTTCAAACACAAGAAAATTTGAAGAGTACCAAAAACACTCATATATGCCTACCACCTAGATTCAACAATCGTTAGTATTTTGCCATATTTTCTTTATTTATATGTATATGTATGTAGAAATTTTTCTTTTAACTTTTTATTTTGATACAATTTCAGACTTAAAGTTGCAAGAATAGAACAAAGAATCCCATATACTCTTCATCTAGATTCTCCAAATGTTAACCTTTCACTCCATTTGCTGTTACTATTTTACAGAATTTGATTTATCCATTTCCCTCTCCCTCCTCCATGTACCTTCCTCTCTCTCCCTGAGCCATTGAGAGTAAATTGCAAACCTGATAGCCTTTACTCCTGAATACTTAAGTGTATATTTTCTGTTTCTCTTCAATAGCCACCATAAAACTCTCAGGGTTAGGAAAGTAACAGTAATGTATTACATTTATCACATCCACAGACCTCATTCCCATCTTGTCAGTTGTCTCAATAATGTCTTCTATAAAAGAAAAATAATGTCATTATAAAAGAAAATCTTCAGTCATACAGTGTATTCACTTGTCACGTGTCTTTGGTCTCCTTTAATCTGGAACTGTTTCTCAGTTCTTTGTTTATCATGATGGTATTGACATTTTTGAAGAGCACAGTTATTTTGTAAAATGTCCCTCAGTAATAATATTTTTTTTATAGATTTTATTTATTTATTTGAGAGAGAGAATGAGAGACAGAGAGAGCATGAGAGGGGGGAGGGTCAGAGGGAGAAGCAGACTCCCTGCTGAGCAGGGAGCCCGATGTGGGACTCGATCCCAGGACTCGAGGATCATGACCTGAGCCGAAGGCAGTCGCTTAACCAACTGAGCCACCCAGGCGCCCCGTCCCTCAGTAATAATATTGGACATCATATCAGGAGGCAACTGGTGTTGAATTGTTCTGTCACTGGTAATGTTAACTCTGTATAAATATCCTGTTACTTCTCAAATTTTATCTAGTGTTAGCATCTATTGAGGATTCTTGCTTGAATCAGTTATTACTATAATAGTTGCCAAATAGTGATTTCCTAATTCTATCATTCCTTCTACATTTGTTAGCTGGCCTTGTACCATTAGGAAGGTTTTCTTGTGCCCTCCCTCCCTCATTCCCTTCCTTCTTTCTTTCCTTCCTTATCTGTATCATTGTGAATTCATGGATTTATGTGTTATTCAGTGGATTATAACCTTTCACTATCATTATTTATTTTGATGCCTACATTCTCCCACATTTGGCCAGTGGGAGCCCCTTGTATCTTTTCAACATGAACCATTCTTTTAGCCCTTTGTTACTTTCTGACACAAAAGGTGTTCTACACTCATTTTGTGCTTTCCCACCCTTAGTTAGCACTGCAATCAACAATTTCTCCAAAGAGCTCTAGTTCTTTTTTAGTGGAGAATAGTATTTAGAAACCAAGATCTGAGTATTTGGTATGCTTATTACTTCTAGGCCCACTCAGTAGACATTTAAGAAATAGATGTATCAGGCGCCTGGGTGGCTCAGATGGTTGGGCGTCTACCTTCGGCTCAGGTCATGATCCTGGAGTCCTGGGTTCGAGTCCCGCATCGGGATCCCTGCTCCTTGGGAGCCTGCTTCTCTCTCTGCCTTTCTCTCTCTCTGCCTCTCTCTCTGTCTCTCATGAATAGATAAATAAAAATCTTTAAAAAAAAAAAAAGAAATAGATGTATCATATACTTATGCCCATACATATATGTGTATCTATATACAGAGTCTCACATACCTATATTTATTTCTACATCTGCATTTGTCTATACATTCAGATCTATTAGGGTTCATACTCTAATCCTACCCTACACCACAGGATTAATTCTGTCTTCCCTATTTCCATATAGTTAATTCTGTTCTCCAACAGTAAGAAACCTCTCTCTTTATCTACAATATATTTATTTATTTGATCACTTTTAGAATACACAAAAAGCAGTTTCAGAGCTACTAACCAGTGCTTCTGTGGAAAAGAAGTCTACATATAGATTTTTTTTTTCTTGGTTATCAGATTATTAGCCTGGAACAGTAGTTCTTAACATGGAGCAGTTTTACCCTCAAAGGGGCATTTGGCAATATATGGAAACATTTTGGTTGTTACAACTCAGAGGGAGTGCTGCTGGCATCTAGTAGGTAGGGACCAGGGAAATTTCTAAACATGCTGTAATCCACAGGACAGCCCCCAGAACAAAGAATTATTCAGCCCCAAATGTCAAAAGTGCCAAGGTTAAAAAAACACAAACATACTACTAAGAAATGATCTATTGAAGGATGTTATGTATGTTTTGGTTTTTTTTGCTAAACCACTTGAAAATAAGATGTAGGCATCATGACACTTACTTCCTAAATACTCCTGATAATAAGGACATTGTCCTACATAATGACAAATCCAGAGGTGGGCAGCTAGGACTTTTGCAGACTCCAAAGTGTGGTGTTGGAAGAGAGGTTATATAGTTGCTGTGACAGTTCTCCTGCCACTGGAAAATCTCTCTCTCTCTTTACATGCCTCCCCCCTTACCAAGAGACCATTTGAAGGAAGAATTGATAAGTTGACTAGAATAAATGAAACCAGGGGCGCCTGGGTGGCTCAGATGGTTAAGTGTCTGCCTTTGGCTCAGGTCATGATCCCAGGGTCCTGGGATCAAGCCCCGCATTGGGCTCCCTGCTCAGCAAGGAGCCTGCTTCTCCCTCTCCCTCTCCCTCTGCCTCTCTCCCTGCTCATGCTTTCTCTTCTCTCTCTCTCTATCTCTGTGTCTCAAATGAATAAATAAAATCCTTTAAAAAAATTTAAAAAAATAAAATAAATGAAACCAGAGTCAAATTTACTTTTTCCTGCAGGAAAAAGTTGGATATAGTCTGAGTATGGAAATATGTGTATGTAACATTTAAGACCTGCTGTGATCAAATTGTGAAATTTTATTCTTAGCTCTTTCTTTTAAAGATTTTATCTTTTTTTAAGATTTTATTTATTTGAGAGAGAGAAAGGGAAAGAGAGCATGAGCGGGGGGAGGGGGAGAGGGAGAGAATCTCAAGCAGACTCCTCACTGAGCCTGGAGCCCGCGACAGGCTCGGTCTCACAACCCTGAGATCATGACCTGAGCCAAAATGAGGAGTTGGACGCTTAACTGATTGTGCCAGTCAGGCACCCTTAAAGATTTTATTTTTAAGTAATCTCTACACCCAACATGGGGTTTGAATTTACAACCCCAAGATCAAGAGTCACGTGCTCTACCAAATGAACCAGGCGCTATTTGTAAACCAAAGTAATAGTCAAATAGCATGCACTAGAAGAATATGACCTAACTGATGATATATTTATTTCAGGCAGTGTTCAACAGCAGAAGATTTTAATACAGTGAAAGATGAGGAGAATTACAAGAGAGGAAAGAAAGACATTAGGGGAGAGGGCATATTTGAGATGTAATGTTGGATCTAATTTATTTTGATAAAACCATTTAGGTCACATTATTTAATAATTCAGCAAATATTTGTTATGTGTTTAGTGTTGGAGAAATACTGATGACAAGTTAGCATGGTGGAGATTTCAGCCTGGTTTTTATTTTGTTCTCCACAACGGGGAAATAATGCTAAAATACTTTTTCCTGAAGAAAAGTTTGTTTCTGTTTTTCCATTTCCAGTTAAGTTCCAAGTGAACTTTTTCTAACTTGTTATCAAGCAGTTTCAAAACTGTTGAAGAAGAATGCCATATGCCCATTTTACTGAATGTCAAGACTTACATAAGCTCTACATGAGTGAAATGTATAATTAGTATTTATTAATATATATTTAATAATACCATTGCCGTGAATTACTAATATATATTTAGCTGTACTTGTGTTCTTTCTCCAGGGTAAAATGACTAAAATGCTTAATATAATTTGCTTCTAAATTTTATTTCACTCAGTTTTGCTGTGTTCTTTAACTATGCATGTCTAAACATGAAAGAGATGGCTTATATTTGGTTGTAGAGATTATAGTGTGATACTAACGCTTGCTTTTAAAATAAACGTATTTTTGTCAGATGACTTGCAGGGTGCACAGTCAGAAATTGAGGCAAAACAAGAAATTCAGCATCTTCGCAAGGAATTGATTGAAGCCCAGGAACTAGCTAGAGCAAGTAAACAAAAATGCTTTGAACTTCAAGGTGAGATCAAGATTACATTGATTCTTTAGGGGATGCGGAAACAATGTGACATAACTGAGTCCAGAGGCACAGTATCTTGTTCTAGATCCACAACTTTATTAGCTATGTGATCTTGGGACATTCACTTACCCTCTCTGAACATATGTTTCAGACAGTATAGTGGGGAGAGTTACAGTTGCTCTACTTCCTTCACCTTGTTGATGTGAGTGAAGATCAAGAAGGACCTGTACAAGTGAAAGATCTTAACAGTTAATTACATATTAAGTACAACAAAAGGAAAAAACAATGTATTTCAATTTCTAAGTTTTAGTTACACCTAATGTTGCTCCTCAGTATAAGATGAGGGAAATTTATATGCCCTCTGATTTTATAGTGTATTCTTCAGTAAATGGAAACAACCAGGTAAGGTAAAGGTATAGAATCTTGCAGTTTCCCAACCACTTTCTTTTCTAGTAATTTACTTATCCATAGTGTCATAGGCTAGTGGAGTTGGTGATATTTATTCTCTAGAGCTTACATTTCCATATCATTCACAGTAACTACCTAGTTGCAGTCACTTGGTACCGTACAGTCTTAGAACAAGGAGAAAGTAAATGGCCTATGGAGTCCTCATGTTCTCTAAGATGGACGACCTTCCTGATCAGGAGGAAGATTCACATCCCCAGGAGGAACTGGGAACTTTCTGTTAGTTAGTATTCACTTGGCTATAAACATGAGGGTTTTAAGTCTGTTTTTAAAATTTAAGCTCAAAATGCTGATTAACAACTATCAAGAATGCGCCTCATATAAAGAATAACACATATAATCTTGGTGATATAAGGTCTAGAAAACTCTGCTACTTGATTGAATAGATTTATTACTTACTACTGTTTTGTGCTCCTAAAATCTTTAAACTATTTAACTGCTAATACTGATAATATTTATTGCTTAGCTTTTGTTTCTTTCAATAAGCTTTAGGTGAGAATTTCTTAGAAATTTCCAGCTGCTCAATTCTGAATACTTCCATTAACTCACAAAATTAGTTGTACTGTGTTTTATTTTTAGCTCTTTTGGAAGAAGAAAGAAAAGCCTATCGAAATCAAGTTGAGGAATCCAGTAAACAAATACAGGTTCTTCAAGGTATGGAACACCCCAGGACTATTTGGGATTATTATTGTTTGTAGTGATTCAAAAGGAATGGAAAGTAAGAGTGTAGAGAGTTCCCATTTTTCATGTCTTTGGTTTGTCCCTAGAATCTGAGACAATAACTAGGCTCTTGGTGAGCTTTTTGTTTTGTTTTGTTTTGTTTTAAACACAATTCCCTAGTACTCTAATAGTGGACACTCGGAGTGGGAAGAGCATGGGTTTGGTAAGACTGTCACTTTCTGGGTTATATAGTGAGTTGCTACAGAGGGGCCTTTGGACAGGATATCAGTTTGAGCTACTCTGTGCATCAGCACTTCTAGCTTGGTGACATTATTTCTAATGCTCATAACATACTGCATTGAGGGGCACCTGGGTGGCGCAGTCAGCTACACGTCTGACTCTTTGTTTCAGCTCAGGTCCTGATCCCAGGGTCATGAGTTCAAGCCCAATGTTGGGCTCTGCGCTTGATGCAGTCAGCTTGAGATTCTTTCTCCCTCCTCTGCCCCTCCCACTCATGCTCTCTCAAAGTAAATGAATAAAGCTTTAAACAAACAAACAAAAAACATTCTTGCATTGCAACAAAAATTATATATCACATGGAATAGAATAATGATCCCTGCAGTGCCTTCACTGGTAGAGGCTGCTCTTCATACCCACCATTTTGTTATCTTTGTGTGAGCTATCACAGGTTCATTGCAGAAAAGACCAGAAAGATCCTTGCCTGCCAAGGGTTTACTTCAAATCATAGTTCTGGTACTGTTAGGCTCGAATTGTGAGAACCCTAGGGGAGATCTTTCTTTCCCATGCTACTGTAAAATTCCTAAAGCAAAATTAATTTGTCTTCATTGTCAAAGAAGGAACTAATGTTATTTTTAAATTTTAGTTTGAGATGTAGGGTAAGAAGAAATTAAATAGACAATCTCAGTTCAGAAAAAAATGGGGAATCATTGTATGAGGCCTATGATATTTGCCCTAAAACATCCCAGAGGAAAAGCAGTCTTTGGGGTTTTCTTTCTTATTTTTGAATGGGACATATGAGTTAGTTATATATTTATTTTTAAGAGAGCGAGAGGGTGGGAGGGAGGGAGTGAGAGCGAGCCTGGGAGTGGGAGGGAGAGAGAGAACATTAAGCAGGCTCCATGCCCAGCATGAAGACCAACACAGGGCTTGATCTCATGACCCTGGGATCATGAGCTGAGCGAAAATCAAGTGTCAGATGCTTAACCAACTGAGCCTCCCAGGCTCCCCTACGGATGTTTGAGTTATTTAAAAATTTAAATTTTGGGTGCCTGGGTGGCTCAGATGGTTAAAAACTTAAATTTTATTATGGTCAAGTTAGAATTTCTGGGGTATGTTATGTCTTTTTGAAGAGAAAATTCTTTAAACTCTTATAATTTAATGCCTTTATCCATTAGCTTATGTAAATCTGATTTCAATCTATATTTGCATTCTGTAGTGCGTATGGGCAATTGTCCCTAAAAGGTTCTGTAACATAGGACTGCCTTTTGTCTTAAAGCGGTCTTATCTAGGCATCATTGAGTGTCCCCTAGTGCCAGCATGTATGTTTTATGACTTTATCCACAAGTGTATGGTCCTGTTAATCTCTGGCCATTGTGTCTTCAGATTCTGAACTTGTTAACCTCTCAGTGCTTCCTGCGAACTGAAAAGGCCTCATATTTTTTTTTAACACTTATTTATGGAGCAGCCTTCCCCTTTCTCAGCCTTAAATTCTCTTAATTATTTTAATTACTCTTCTCTTCTACCTAAGGAACTTTTCCTACCTATAGTTTTCTTGTGTTATAGTAACCAAGGCTATTTTTCTAGTTCTGAACCAAGTATTTTATACAAATTGTTTCCAGCTCAATCCTTGAGGGCACAGGACCAGATCTGTTAAAAATACACCTCCTTGATTAGGCATTATTCATTAATGTTGTCAATTCATTAATTCAACCAGTAATTCTTGGTTGTTTGCTCTGCTAGTATTGAGGATAGAGTATGCATGAGATGTACAATCAGTGGAAAAGATAAACCATAGGCAAATATAAAATGTGGTGTCCAATAAAGGGAGAGTAATGGGCTAGAGAACGAGAGGGCTATTTTTAGATAAGACAGCAGAGAAAGCTTCTTTAAGGAACTGACATTTAAACTGCAAATTGAATCAAGAACATCAAAGGTTTTACTAATGCATACCATCTGACCAAGCAATTCTATGTCTAGGAATTCACTCTAAGAAAAAAATCAGGATTGCATTATAAGCAGTATTTTTTATAGTAATTAAAAACTGAAGAGCCTAAAATGTCTAAAATAAAGGACTAGTCAAAGAAGTAACAGTGTAATTTTTTTGTTATTAAAAGATAGTCATCACCAGCAGGATAGAGAACATTATATATATTACAATCCCTCCCTGTTTTTGCTTTTACATGTGTATAAAATGCATATAAAAAATCTAGAAGAATAAATTCCAAATGCTAGAAGCAACTTTCTCTGTGACGGAGAAGTAAAAAGATCACTTTGATTTTTTACTCTTTGTGTTTCTGTGTTTTGACATTTTCTGCATTAAACATGGATTGCTTGTACTGTTTAATCAAAAGCAACAAACAGCTCTGGCAGCTTGGGCTAGGCAGTAACTACAATCCCATTTGGGCAGTTCATTTATTTGTAATTGCTTTGGACAAAGAATGATGGATCAATGTACTTTTGTAGCCCAACTACAGAGGTTACACATCAATATTGAGAATCTCCGGGAGGAGAAGGACAGTGAAATCACAAGCACTCGAGATGAACTGCTTAGTGCCCGAGATGAAATTTTGCTCCTTCATCAAGCAGCAGAAAAGGCTGCTTCTGAGCGGGACACTGACATTGCCTCGTTACAAGAAGAGCTTAAGAAGGTGCGAGCTGAGCTTGAGCGGTGGCGGAAAGCAGCGTCTGAATATGAGAAAGAAATCACGAGTCTGCAAAATAGTTTTCAGCTTCGATGTCAGCAGTGTGAGGATCAGCAGAGAGAGGAAGCAACAAGGCTACAAAGTGAGTGTGCATATTTTACATAAAGCTCTTAATTCTTGACAATGATAACTTTATAGCTTGCACAAAATAACGATTTGGGCTGTTTTTCTCTTTGATAACAGTTTGGTTGTATAAAGCAATGTTTTTATATTGGGGCTATAAACATTCTTCAGGTCCACAAGTTCTACAATAAGTTGAAATTTTTTACAATTTTATATTTTATTTTAACACTACTGAATTGTTTTATAAAAGTGAAGTGGGAAGAAAATATTCCTGAAGTTCAAGGTGATGGAACTTACCTGAGGTATAGAGGCCAAATAAACAGGAACCAAAGAATAGCCATGTAAAATCTACATGTTTTTAAGGGGGGGCAAGTATGTTTTTCTTTGAAATATTTCCCTTATCCTTTGAATTATTATGGAAGTTATGTTCCTATATTAATGAATATGTTTTGGGACTATTTTAGGTGAACTAGAGAAGTTGAGAAAGGAATGGAATGTATTGGAAACCGAATGCCATTCTCTAAAAAAGGAAAATGTTTTGTTATCATCAGAACTGCAGCGGCAAGAAAAAGAATTGCACAAGTATGCAAGAACTCTTTCAGCTTCAAAATATTTCTTTATCTTAAATTTTCATCTAAATTAAATTTAAATTTGATACTTAAATACCTTTTTGAAGCAAAATGTTCAGCCAGACTTTTTGGCTATTTGACAGGTTAAGCACACTAACAATACTTCGGCAGGTTTGGTTTTTTTTTTGGACTTCCCCCATCATCCTACATGTCCTTTCCTTTTGGTGTACTCAAGTAATACACATTCGTGGACTACAGCACCCCCACCAAAGCCCTAAACAAACAAACAGCAAAGATCTATACTTAGTGATTGAATTTGTCCTAGAAACTAAATGATAAAAATTTCAAATATAAGTTGTTTTGCTTCGGTGTCAGTGATTCCATCTGTTAGGGTAATCAGGAAATGACTATAATAAAGAATTTATACCATTGAAAGATACAAATTCAGCTTTTGAATTTCACAGAGTTATATAAAGAATAATAATATATAAAATCAAAATTTCCAAAACCAGTTAATGTCTTTCTAATATCCAGTACCTTACAAGCAAACCAATGAATGCGATAAATTTATGCCAGCAAACTTAGCCAAGTCCGGTTTTCACACCAACAGATTTTTTCCTTAAAAATTTGATCCATTCCATATTTTTATTTGAACACTCTTTATGTTCTAATTCAGAATATGAAAGTAGTACATGTTTATTATTGAAGCCACTCTTTTTTTTTTTCCCCATTACAAAACAATCCACTTTTATTTTGGAAAATATGAAAAATTTCGAAAAGGATAAAAAGCCAATATCACCCATAATCCCAAAGTGTTTTCTGTGGCTCTTTCACATCCAAGAAAGTAAAAATAAAAATATTCTTCTCCTTGGATACATATAGAAATGTTTACAGATATGTGTATATACAGAGCTTAGTATGCACATATATTCCCTTACTTTGTCAGCTGAGAGGGCCTAAAAGTAACAACATTCCAGTAACCAGGAGCACACTCGGCACCCAGAGCTTGGTTTCTTTTTTTTTTCTCAGAAATTTTATTGGTTATTTTTCTTTTATTTTTTTATTTGAGAATTATTTTTCCCTTTTTTTTTATTATGTTCAGTTAGCCACTGTATAGTACATAATTAGTTTTTAATGTAGTGTTCAACGATTCATTAGTTAAGTATAACACCTGGTGCTCATCACAACACGTGCCCTCCTCGATACCCATCACCCTGTTACCCCCTCCCCCCACCCTCCTCCTCTCTGAAACCCTCAGATTGTTTCCTGGGGTCCCTAGTCTCTCATGGTTCATCTCCCTCTCTGATTTCTCCTCCTTTGGATTTCCCTCCTTTCCCCTATGGTCCTCCGTGCTATTGCTTATGTTCCACATAGGAGTGAAACCATATCATAATTGTCTTTCTCTGCTTGACTGACTTCACTTAGCATAATCCTCTCCAGTTCCTTCCATGTCAATGCAAATGGTGGCTGAATAATATTCCATTGTATATATGTACCATATCTTCTTTATCACATTCATCTGTTGAAGGGCATCTCGGCTCCTTCCACAGTTTGGCTATTGTGGACATCGCTGCTATGAACATTGGGGTGCATGTGCCCCTTCTTTTCACTACATCTGTATCTTTGGGGTAAATACCTAGTAGTGTAATTGCTGGGTCATAGGGTAGCTCTATTCTTAACATCTTGAGGAACCTCCATAATGTTTTCCAGAGTGAAGCCACTCTTAATTAACCCATTTCCCTCCCCACAGTACACCAGAAATGGGAGTCTTTACTCTCTTGTTAGCCTGTGTTTATACTCCTAAAGAGCATCAGGGTTAGCAGAAACTCAATGAAGGTCAAGGTCAGTTCCCATAAAAACAAGCTTTAGGAGGAAACAAAGAAAGGACTAGATCCATCAGAAAATAGTAAGCCTCATTATCTGCTTAAAACAATAAAATTGTAATAGATTATACATTTTTAAAAATCAACTAGTTGAAGGAACAAGGTGTGCTGATTTTTTTCTCTGAGATGCCTTCTTATAATACCATGTATTAACAATATTTATTGTGTCCTATTTTTCCAGTCTTTTCATACATTTATGTGTAGTATTTTTTAAATGTTTAGAGATAACTAGTAACAAAGAGTGAACATATTTGTAACATGTGAAATTTTGTAAAAAGAATTCCAGAACCTGAATAGGACAGAATAAAGGCCCAAACACAACTGTATACACATGTGAGTGTATATGTATGTACCAGCTGATTGTGTTGACAGCACATTTGGGCAAATTGTTTGGTTTCAAATGAGTATAAGATGATGCAGACATTCAAATTCTTCATATTTGGACTCTTAGGGAATCCATTCAGTTTGATATTCTATTAAGCAAGAAATAGTGATCTTTGATTACTAGTATTGATTATCTTACATTATTCCTGCCTTGGGATTACTGATATTTTAAAGATTTAAACTCGATCCTTCTTTTTTGAAATGTAATTAATTAGAATCTGGCAGGTTGTTAAATGCTACATTTTGAATTACTTCAGATTTGTTGAAGTGTTGAAAAGCAGCAAACTCCTTATGAGTTAGAAGCATACAGTTTAAAAATATTAGGTCCCAGAAGGGTGGAATATATTATATCCTTAGTCAAAGTTGTCTGCCTAAATTCACATAAGCTATTTAAGACAAATTCTGTTTCCTAAACTTTTCTGGTTTAGTGGCACTCTAACTTTTATTTGGCAAGCCTCCTCAGCATTTAAGTAGTATTTAGAAGTTAGTCTTTCTTTACAGAGTCTTCTATGCCATTTTGTATATTGGACTGACATCACACTCCTTCAGAATTTGCCTGGCATACAATCAGAATGGGATTTATACTCCATAGTTCCTTCGCTAACAATATTGAGTCTGAGTCTTATGTTCCATTCTGAGAAGCATAAAACTGTCATCTTGAAAACTTTATTCTCCTTTAGCTATTTCTCTTGTAGATGGGATCCACATTCTTTCAAACAGTTACACTATGTAGGTCTTTTGTTTTTTGTTGTTTGTGATGTAGAAGGAATTGAACAAAGAATTCTGTTCCTGCCTATCAAGCTATTTTCCTAGTGTGTAAATTGTATTTTTTTACATCAAGTTATAAAAGTAATTACAGAATTTAAGCCAAAGATCAGCCTCAGAAATTACTGAATTCAATCTTCTTATTTGACAATGGAGGGCACTGAGACTCTCCTTGTGTTATTTGTTTCTGTGTAACATGGTGCCTGGCACAGATCTCAGAGCTCAGGAAATGCTTCCTCAGAGAAGGAAACTGCACCAGTTAAGTGACTTGCTCAATGTCCCACAACTGAATAGCGGCAGCACTGGGGTCTAGAACCCTGCCTCCTGGTTCTTTGTTTCATGCTTTTCCCCCAATTTGGTGTGTCTTCATTTGAGTAGGTTTATCTTTACTTGAATAGACAGTGGCTCCTAAGCTTTAAGTTTTTGTCCCCCATCCTATTTGTCAAATACTTAAACTAAATAAGAAAATAGTTGAAATATGTGCTGATTTCCTGGGGAAGCCCCACTCTGAATCTTTTTATGACACAATTAATATAATGTGATATAACAAAATATACAGTTAGTCACCTACTTCCACTTTTAAGATTTCAGTCTCTGTGCATATTTCAATCTGAAAATAGAACACAGCTTTAAACATGCAATTTTTTAGTATTTTAATGCTTTTTGATTATTGAACATATCTTATTCTCTTTTATGTATTTTTCCCTTCTCTGTAATTTACTCCATCCCTCCTAGTGAAGTGTATAAGAAATTAGACTTCCTGCTATGTCTAGTTCTACATGAATTGAATAACTGTCAATATTTATGTTGCAGTTCTCAGAAGCAGAGTTTAGAGCTTACCAGTGATCTCAGCATCCTTCAGATGACTAGAAAACAGCTTGAGAATCAAGTGGGATCCTTGAAAGAACAGCATCTTCGGGATTCAGCTGATTTAAAAACTCTTCTCAGTAAGGCTGAAAACCAAGCAAAGGATGTACAGAAAGAGGTAAAGCGAAAAGACATTATGAGCCCAATTATGGTTGGACTTAAAGCCAAAAGCAAATCAGATATTCATGCTAGTTAGAAATAAAGGGAAGCAGAAGTCACATTACCTGTCACAAAATTGATACTTGGAGCATCTCTGCTTGGTGATTTCTAGCTGTGTATCATGGTCCATATATAGAGAATTCATCAGTAGGGTTTGGTCTCAAAAATATAAATATACAAAATTGCATTAAAATTTTTTCTCTACCAGTTAGTTGACCTATATGAGAAGCCCTTTGTATGCCAGATTACTCAATTCATTGTTTATCTTTCAAAGACAGTATCATATTTAACTTAGAATACTTTTGGAAAGCAAACTGGGGCCACACCATAATGCTGTCTAAAGCCCTCAGTAACACTGGCCTGAAACGTAAAATTTACTTCATAGCCAGCCAGCCAAACACAAGTTCTGTGACCTTTTACTTTCTTCTGCACTCCCACCCCATTTTCCCCTTCTTCTCCCCTTCTTCACAAATATGCATGCTCACTTTTCATGTCATTTTGCTTAAAACCTTGACTTGGGTGGCTTTTAAAAAAAATCATGTTAAAAATGGTGAGGGCTGATTTTGGAGTAGAGACCCCACCCAGCTTCTTTCTGAGCAAAACCTTGAAGTTGATAACGGGGCAAGGAGAGCTGCGTTCAGTCCTGCCGCCTTATCCTGCTCCCTGCATTAGTCCTGGCCAGCTCAGGGTACAGGAAGGCTGGTGCATCTTGACCTTCTGGTCGGGGCCCATCCCAGCTGTAGACTCTCTGAAATGAAGGATTCATTATACATAGAAGGAAGTTGAAGACAACTCTTTGTCTTTAATAACAAATTTCCCCAAAATTATTTTTAGAAAATCTGTTCAGTCAATGCACTTTTTCTTTGCACTTCCCTTTCCTTGTAGTATCCTGAACGTGGACATGACTATTGTTCTTCTGTCTTCATGTTTGTTCTTAGAGAAAAAGAAAAAAAAACAACCTGTAACATTTTTTATTTCTGTGTGGCCGTATTGATTTTGTAATATGTTCGTTTCTATCTTCTTGCTAAGGATATGCGTTCTGGGAGCAATCTCATTTTATTTAGTTGGAACACAAATTTTGTGCCAAAGTAAATATCCTAGTATTTAATACTGTAAGCACTTTGTGTCCTTCCAGTCCATATGCCATAATTCTTTCAAAATCTGGGAAGAATGCTGTGGTTGGAATATGATTCTGTTGTATGTTACTCTGAATGCATTGGCCGTTTTGTTGCATTATTTGTTTGCCTGTGTTTGGTCACTGAGCAATCAGTGAGAAATGCTTTAACTGCTTCCACAAATGGCAGTGGCATGTTGTCACAGCATCTAAATTGTTGATAGCTTTGGATTGCATTAAATGCAGCACATTTAAAAATATGTGTGAACTTGTCAATATGTTTCTTTTCTACTTTCTTGTTCAGTGTTTTCCATTGTGAAATGATGTGTAGTCATCACACTCCTTTGTAATGTAAAATTGCTTCTTTCTGTTTGTCCTGATGTTAACTATTGGATACTAGTCTGTAACTAAAATGTTCTTTAATGAGGTTCTTATATCTGTAATCCACTGCAAATGAATTACTACCTTTTATTAATGCACATATATTCTCTTTCAACATTTCCCCTTTGTTCTCCTTTCTCTCATAGAATCATGCTTAATGTGCACAGTATCATGTATCTTCAGCACTGTAACAGGCTAAAATATTACAAGCTAAGCAAGCCAGATATGATTATTTTTATGAAGAAGAACCAAAGGTGTTGGTAATATTGTGTGGTATTTTCCTCTTAATCAGAACTGAGCTCGTTTCTCACCTTCGAGTTAGAAAGCAAGATGGAGCAAAAATGCTATCCAAGCCAGGTGTGAAACTAAGGCTGCAGAAGGTGACCTTTTGTTCCAACAATTAAATTTTATATGTATGGCAACTTGTATTTGAACATTTAACCAAAAAAAAATACATGAGAAAGTAAATTTTAATCCTCAAGTATTAAGAGAAAAATAATGGTGTATCATCTTTATATCTGACTTAAGAAAAGCATCTTTATACTTTAGTAGGTATATCTATAATTTAAGAATTCATAAAACATTGGTACACAAGTCCACGGTGCAAAGACTGACTCAGGAAAGTTGTCTGGCTTCACCACCTTGCTGTGGGGCCAGACCCCCTCCCACCCTGCTCACAGGCTGAAGGTAAACAGCAGGCTCTTCCTGACTGAGCTGTCTTCCTGTCACTCTGCTTCATAGCCACTGGAACGGAGAAATGATTAAGTGCTTTGGTGTAAAGGGCAGGCTGGATGTAAGAATAGTGGAAAAGGAAAGTAAGGGAGAATTTAGGTCAGCAAAGCAGTTTTCACTTACCCTTTATTAGTCACTGTTAAGAATCAGATCATTGAGAATTGATTGTGTTCTAAGAGACTAATCTAGGCACACTGAATTTGTTTTGGCAGCCTGCTGGCAACCTTCTGCCTTCTGGAAGGAAGTCCACAGACCCCAGAAAAAAAGCTGCCATAAAGTCCATGAATCTTATTCCATAGTTCATTGTCTGGCATACTACCCAGACTTGTTCTGGGAACACTGTTAGGTAACAGGGAATTCCTTTCACATTTTACCTCCCTCTAAATGCCCGTATCTTTCTTCCCACTTACTGGTGGTCTTTCTGCTAATCCCCCTGCCCCCACCTCTTCTGATTAATGTTTTTGTACATTTGCATCCTGCTTAATACTTCTCTTTGGAGTACATAATGATGATCTCCTAATTAATCTTTCCAGAGTATTTACATTATTTAGAAGCACCATGTAAAGGTGTCCTCTACTGAGAAATTTCTAGAAGATAGACTGAAAGAGGAAAAACCTTTGTGGTACGCTGGTCCCATGGTATATTTATATTATATTCAGTCCTTGTCTTTCTTCCTTCTAAAACCTTCAGAGGTGGCAGAGTGGGGCAGTGGAGGCCGAGACAGAGGCATAACCAACGGCAGAACAGTTTTTGCTCTTTGACTGGGAGCCCAGCTTGCATGTAAGATGCAGTGTCTAGAAGTAGAACCAGTCAGAATTCCTGCCTCCTCAGCACTTAAAGTAGAGGCAAGCCATACTATGTCTTGCATTGACCTCACCTATATTCAAAGGAGAGCTTGTCTGTCTGAATGTCAAATTATATTCAATGAACAGTTTTTCAGAGCAGGAAGTTTCATGTTTCACTCTAGAAAAATATTTGTCAGGAACAGATTCGTAAAAATTATTTACTGATGCTTATAAGTTTTAGGTCGAAAAATAGAAATGTCCCAATCATAGTCGTTAGTACCTTAGATATATTTCTTTACATCATTTGCCTAGAAATTCATTTATCCAGAACACTTTACTACCCAGGGATGCCTGGGTGAAGAAAAGCCTGATGGGAGTTAGTTAGTACTTCTTACTTTAGGACTAAAATAGCTTGGCTGACATTGGTTACCAGGATATAAACTCAGATTTCATAACCTTGCCATTTAATTAGCTTACAAAGTTTTTCTGTACTTGCTTTTCTTTTCTCAGTTTGAAAATTATTTTACTTTTCTCCTCTAACTCACTCAATGGAAAGAGTGACCCTTTATATTAGAAACAGATGACACAATGGTGATTTCTCTCTTTTTTTTTTAAACTCCAGGGCCAGAAAGTTCTTACATAGAATAAAGTTAACATTAAAGACTTCCTATTGTTAGTACAAATGATTCTTATCCCCCTGAAAACAAAAACGCTTGACTTTGGTGTTGCAGGTGGCTAAATAAGCCTGACTAGAACCATAACTTCATACTCATTTTAAGTTGAGTCTGCACACTCTTTTTTCTTTGCCTTTAGTATGAAAAGACACAGACTGTACTCTCAGAACTGAAGTTGAAGTTTGAAATGACTGAGCAGGAAAAACAATCAATCACAGATGAGCTCAAACAATGTAAAGACAACCTGAAGCTGCTCCGAGAGAAAGGAAATAATGTAAGTCTTTGCAAACTTGGCTTAGCTTTGAATGAGAGGCAGGTGAGAGCCCTGAAATGGATTTTTCAGCGGACTTTATTACTGATTTGAGAAATTAAGGCTTGTAGTACATGAACTAAGCTTTTCATTATGAAATTCCATGATGGAAGTATTGTGCTGTCAAATTTCTGAGTAAGAATTTGCCCCTTTAACTTGTATCCCGAGAGGAGCCTGAGGACTGCCTGGAGGAAGAGCCTTGTTTGCAAGAAAATAATTTACCTAAGAACTGTCAGATTTTCCCAGATGAATCTGAAGTTCTGTCACCAAGCCATCGTCTGGCACTTCATTTCTCCTGCTGAGAAATGAAACATTATACCACCAGGGACCCACCTAAGAAAGAGTAGTACATGTTGACTCCTTAACATTTGGCTGTGTCAAAAATGGAAACTTAATTATGGTTTTCATTTTATACTAATAATGTTCTCACTAAGGCATATTCCTAAAAAGCTTAGTGTCTTTTTGACCTCCTATGAATAGTAGGGAATATTTGTTGAGTTTCTGCAGGGCTGTGTGTGTGTGTGTGTGTGTGTGTGTGTGTGTGTGTGTGAGAAACTGGAACATTTTCATATAAATTGAGTTTACTATTAGTTTGTTTTTCATTTATTAGAAAGGCAGATGGTCTTTAAAAAGATGTTATACTAAATAAGTGTTGTGTTCTACGTTTTGGTGATCATTGCCTTTGTGGGCCCTAACTGATGGCTGTTCAGTGTAGTTGGTTGTGCACTGACTTATTTCAAATCCCTGTCATGGCTTGGACACTGCAGTGGCGTAAGCCATACTCTTCCTACAGAGGAAAGCACTCTGCTTGACTTTGCCGCACAAGTACAAAAGAGTGATGTTGCATGGCCATCCAGTTACACAGTTGCACACAGAATGCTCATGAGTTGTGTCCAACTGTCCTTCACTAAAGAAAGTCTTAGTTTTTTAGAAATGAAGCCTTGTTGCTTAGGTGGAAGCCCTTCAGAAGTTGATAAATTGGGTATGGAGGCTTTATGCTATAAGCAAAATTGATCGTATTTATTTTGAAAATGTAGATTACAGAACTCTTCTGAAATCAGATCATAATGGTTTGGTTACTTCTCTCTTTTGTGTTAATCATATCTTTCTGAGTATGGAATTTCAGTCCACCTTCTACTAAATTAACCTATGAAGACATCTAGCATAATCAGAATGGATCCCTCTGTACTATTTAGAGCCTTTCAAAAGTAACCTGGCTCTTACTATTTATAGTTGTACCAATAATTGACTTTAAAGGTGAATTTCCTTTTTCTGTGGTATTAGTCTTAAGGTAACTAAATTTTTCTCTGTAATAAAACTCATTGTAGTAACTCCTTCCAATTTTAAAAAATTAATTATATTCTGGTAATATAACTAAAAGCCCTGAGACTCAGCTGCCTGTCTTTATATATCAAATGTTTATCACACATTGTGTCAGATCTCTTGCTTGGTTTAGGAAGCATGCATCACAAGGCATTTTATTTTTAAGCTTGAAAGCAGTACCATCCCAGGCAAGAGAGTTTTGGTTTAAAAAAAAGGTTTCAATGGAGGGATAAAATAAACTTCAGCCATTTCCAAGGGACTACATTATCAAGTAATGGATTCCAGCTATGGAACAAAAGTAATGTAAGGTCAAGCAGAGCATCAGTGGTGAAGTGTTGCTATTGCAATGTCTTAAAAGTGCTACATTTCATTAGGGTATTAGGGACATCCACATTGTCCACTGCCTCCAGCTGTCCCTTTTAAACAGGTAGTTACATACCATAGTCCCATCATTCTGGATTGTATTAGATGTCTTTAAAATGTTTGAATCAGTGCAAAACCTGAGTGCTATTACTTCTATTACCTCAGTCTTCCTACCCTCCTTCCCACCCCCCTGGGGTCTAAATCATCTTATCTGATTTTTTTTATAGCATAAAATGATTTTAATATCCCTTCCCTTCTTTAGCCTTCCATATTACAACCCGTCCCAGCCGTATTCATCGGCCTATTCCTGGCTTTCCTGTTTTGGTGTTTCGGTCCATTGTGGTAGAGAAAGGTACAAGCACTACTGTTGAGTCCTGTCTGTTTGTCCTTGTCACCTGTTTGTGCCATATTTGTAATAGAGTGCATGGCAAAGCCACAGAGGTATTTCGTTACCTGAAGCAAACCCTTCATTTAGTATGCCATGTGTTGTGTCATACGAATGAATCGAACAATCAACTAATCACATAACATTTTGTCTTGTTTCCTTTGTAGTGCTGCTAATCATGAATTAATTCCAACCTAATCAGTTGTTAATGTGCTGCGTTTAACTGAGTCTTTGTCTCTAGCAAACTGGAGTAAACTAAGAATTGCTGCAATATTAGTACCCCCCTCCCAATTACATGTTTAATCAGATTTGAATGAGAAATGAAGCGTTTGCCTCTTTGAAGTTTTCAGCCAGTTTTCTTCCGCGCCTCCTCTCCCTCTTCTTTTCTATAGTGGAGAGCTGCTTTTTTCAACCCTTCGCCTATATTTACACTGTGGCTATGAAGATGAAGAAGGATGAGATTAGCATAATGGGCCATTGGCTCACAATCTCAACCCCAATGTGCATTTACTTATGAGAGTATAAACCTATCCCATATCTTTCTGAGCCTTGATCTGCAACATCACAATATTTCTTTAAAAGCCAGTTTTCTGAATAAGACTCTCAGTATACTAGTGAAAATAAAGCTATCATCCAGAGCACGTTGATTTTATAATGCCCTCTGAAAGTTAACAGTGAATCGCCCACCCACGCTTGCCTGCAACAGGCATGCATGTCAGTAGAACATATGAGATAATCACATGACATTACTACATTGGACATGGTCTTTACCAAAAGTATCAAAGAGGCAAGGTCCTAATAGCACTTCTGTATCTTAAACCCCATCTGATCTTGTCTTCTGTGGTTTCACATTAGAGAATCAAAGCTTGGGCCATTTTCTTTGTTACCTTACCCACCAGCTCCTTGTGTAAAACTACCCTAACATACAAATCTGGTTTTTATCAAGAAATAAACATTTTATGCAGACATGTATTCCAGGCATCCATGTACATCAGTTAGTTGTAATGTATGGATACTGGAGTAAGTAAAGCAGGCTAAGCCCACAGGGTTTCTTAGAAGTCACTATTAGGTTTCAACTGTAACAAAATTGAAAACTGCCCAAGACTTTCCTGAGCTGTATCAGGCTTCCACACAACCATCCTCGAAAAGTGTTCCTGCTGTCATGGCTCTCCTCACACCTGCACCCCCTCACCTTTCTTTCCTTTCTTTTTAAAATGTATTCTTATGCAAAGACAAGGTTTTTCTAATATTCTGTTAAGTATTCAGGACTCTCTGGAACCAAGGGGTTAATAGGTATGAAAAGAGAGGGAAGAATGTGATATTGACTCTTGGTTTCTTTCCACACAGAAACCCTGGCCCTGGATGCCCATGTTGGCTGCCCTGGTTGCGGTGACAGCCATCGTGCTGTACGTGCCAGGTCTGGCCAGAGCTTCTCCATGAGAGCGTTTCTTGAGTCCGTACACCGTCCTCCCTTTAGAAGCTGGCATCACACTCATGCTGGGGACAAACAGAACCATTTTCTTCCTTTTTACCTCTTAAGACAGCAGAAGTGCAAGAATACAGCTGTAGGGTCATTGCTTTAAATTATATAAAATGTATCTATCTATAAAGAGGATATAAAATTGTGACTTTATTCTACTGTAAGCAATAATTTGCTTGCAATTTTTCATGTAATTTTTAAATTAGTATGTTGAGATTCTGAATATTATGGTGGCCTAAAGTAGGCTTCTTGGTACACCAAATTATTTATAACATTAAATTTATGGGTATTTTACTCTGAATTCTAATGGCCAGATAATTCATTTTTCTGATTCGATAACTACCCAAACCAAACAACCAATACATACATGGGAAGAGAGGCCCTGTGTGCTCAGTGCCTATCAGTTTGAAATATATACACATATATATATATTTTTTACATATTTACGCCATTTTTACTTGTTATAAAACCACTGAGCTATTGGGAACAAGACTTAGAGACAACTATTTGCGTGGATTTTTCTTTCTTTCTTTCTTTCTTTCTTTCTTTCTTTCTTTCTTTTTAAGGAGAAATACACTTGGAAAATATTCTGTTCTAGTGATAATTTGGGGAATATGTGCACGCTTGTTCAGCCTTAATGTGACTTGACGATGTGGAGGACATCAACTTTGAAAAACTTTCCATGAGAGTGCGTATTTTCTTGAGCAAACTGAAGTATTTCTGGGAGCAAAAACAGTAATTCTACAATTTCAGTGCAGTAAACCAAACTGTTGAGTCAATTGGAATGTAATTTATTAAACCTCATGTATTTAAAGAGATATTTTCTTTAAAAGCCAAGTTACTTTCTCATATACAGCATTTTAGGAAGCATGATTTTTTTTTCTATCATCTCCTCCTCCAAGCATGTTTAATTGAAGAAAGAATTAATATCTCTTTAGATAAGCTTTTACTGACTTAATTTGGTTATGATATTTCAAAGCTAATTCATGTTCAAGGTGAGCTGTTGTTACCTACCAACAGATTTCCTGGTCGGGTATGCAAATGGTTATTTTCTTTTTACTGTTGTTAATTGGGACTTTCTGTTTATGAGAAGCATTATTCCCAAGATTAATAGTGTTCCATGCACAGTGAAGCACCTAAGCACTGCTTGATGTTATAAATTTAAAACACAGAAGTGAAAGTTTAGCTATGGTTTTGTGCGGCACCACAGTTATGTCAATAAAATTTATTTAGGTCATAGACTATCCTAAAGTATCACATAGTTAAATTTTTCAGTCAATGAAGACTGGGAGGGAATGTCAGTGAATTGGCTTGAATGTTCTGTGGCGATCCACAGTCCTAGCCAAATGTTGAAATAGAAGTTTAGGATATAATTTGCCTTGTGATGTTTGGCAGTCGTTGTTTATACTTTAAAGGTTATATTTTAAGCTATTTGGGATTTGCTGTTGGGAGGATCACTAGATTCATGGAGGAATTAGTCACAAATGACTTGTAGAAATGCTGTCATATAGTTCATTTCATCATTTTCTGTTGCAGGAAGCCACTCCACCACAGAATGCTAATATGCCAGTGGTACCCAGTACCTCTTGTATATAGGTTATTGCAAATATTGTTCTGAAATGCTTAACTTCAGAATTACATTTTTTAAAGTAAATAATTGTTTTAAATCTATTTTGTAAAGATATAAAGTACAATAGAATTTCTGGAGTACAGATTAAACTATTTGCACTAACACACGTGATGTGCATGATTTAATAAAATAACTTTACTCTCCCTATGCATTTTTGAGTTGGATATCATTGAAATTCTTAGTGTTGACTCTACTATTAGATTGTTAATAATCTTTTCTTGAAATGACTCTTAATGCAACATAATATATATTTGGTGTTCTTCAGGGTTTACTGAGCTGTTTCCTTCAAGTTTTATTAGCCTTTTATTTAACTTACTGCTCTAATTTTTTTCCCCTTTTATGATGGTTATTGTTAAAACATGACTCACTTGCCAGACAAGTCTCTTTAAATGTAAAGTCTGGTATCAATATTTACTTTATTCAAATTGAATTAATGGGTTTTTGTAGTTACTTCCGTTTTTCTTAAGAGTATAGACGAGCCTATTCATAAGCAATACCTCCAGTTTCATTCAGTTCACTTCCAGGTTAAATAAAGAGTACGATTATTCACTGTAGTGATAGTCATTAAGAAATTTTATTTTATTGTATTGTATTGTATTTTAGATTACTTATTTATTTGAGAGAGACAGAATGAGAGAGAGAGAGCACAAGCAGGGGGAAGGAGCAGAGGCAGAGGGAGAAGCGGACTCCCTGCTGAGCAGGGAGACCCATGCAGGACTCGATCCCGGGACTCCAGGATCATGACCTGAGCCGAAGGCAGTTGCTTAACCAACTGAGCTACCCAGGTGCCCCCATTAAGAAATTTTAATCATAGTAGTTAAGATTGAACAACCCTATAATGATACATTTAAGAATTACCCAGAGGTGCTACATGGCTGGCTCAGAAAAGGAAAGGAACGTGGCCTGTGAAGCTAACCAGATCCTTACTGGCATCCTGGCTGTGCCTGTTAGCAGCTTTTGCCTCGGGCAGATCACTTATCTTCTCTCAGTCTCCATTTCCTCATTTATAAAATGGAGAGAGTAATATCTATATGTATGAGAATTAAAAAGGTAACGTATGTGAAGTGTCATTCGAGTGGTAAATAAGTGTTTATGAGAATGTCACACTGGAAACACTGCAAATAAATATTTAAGTTTTAGGGGAACCAGTACAGCTGTTTAAAATGAATTGGTTGACTCAACTGTTGAGACTTTCTATGTGTGTCAATGAGACGTAACTGCAGTATAATGAATCCTGAGAGAGCATCATCACCTAGCTCTGTTCTTCCCCTTCATGATTGTGTCTTTGGAAAGTAACATGCTTAGTTTGATAATGAGCCAAGACTTAACAACAGTTTGGCATTCTTGTTGCAACTGCCTTCAGAGTCACTCTGGGTCACATGTGAAAACCAGTCACACTATTGAATAGTCAGAGGCTTGTGACTAAAAATAGTATTGCCTCGCTTGATCTCTCACTTTAATCACCAGATTCGACCCCCAGTGATTCTTGGCTCCTTCCAGTGATTATATCTACTGTCAAAAGGATGGAAATCTGCTACATACAAACTACATACAAATCAACTTTGGTGAAAATGTACAGCCTTGTTTGAAAAATTCACTTCTGGAAATTTTGAAAACATAATTGTGTGCACTAAATTTTGACTACCAGGACAGTTAATGTAGCTTTTTTTTTTTTTTTAATAATAGTAATGGGTAAATAACCTAAATATCCAGCAGTGGTTCATTGGCTAAATAAATTAATATTGCCACCCTACAGATTATTGTGCTTGCAAAGTATATGGGAAGATATTCATAAGGTATGTTAAGGTAAAAAGGTTGCCGGTGTAGAATAACCTTGGTTTTAAAAGAAAAAATATAGACATATAGGATATGTTTATAGCAGGAGGACTCAGATTTATACCCAGGCTAAATAAGTAGTGCTTCTGTCAGTATGATTGTAGGTCAGTTATCTTCTCCTTTTATAATTTCTGATTTATTTTTAGTAGTAAATATATGTTGCTTTTTTAAATTTTTTAAAAGTTTTTTGGTTTTGCTTTAAATTAGAAACAAAAAGTATTCTGCAGAATTCCAAATCGGTTTCCATAATCGAATGAGTAAGTAACTTGTCAGTACCTACATTTAAAGGGACCAATGTTCATTTGCACTTAATGAATTCTGGTGTGTACATTTCAAAAATCAGACTTATACTTTTAAACATACTTTGTGCATATGTGTACATAGAATTAGAATCCTAGAAGAGGCCTTAACTATCCATTCTCACCTTTTTGCCTATCTGAAAAAAATCCAGGGAATTTTTGACTCAGAGTAAGAATAATTGTTATAAAATTGGGAATTAAGATGATTACTTCATTTTTTGCTACTCCACATTGTATCCCAGGCTTCGATGATTTTATATCCATTCATTTAGCAAATACTTACTGAGTGACTGGTATGAGGCACTGTGCTAGGTCCTGACATTACTCTGTCCCTGTGGTCACAGAGCTTTTGGTACAGAGGAGAAATAGAGGCAAGGAAGTTGGCATTTACAGTACTGTGTAGTAGAAGACGACATAGGAGCCAGTGGGACCATAGAAAAGGGGTACGTTTCCTCTCACTTTCAGCCACCCAACCACCCAAGCCAGAGACATCTGGCTGTGGAGCCAAAGGTAAGTTTCCCTTCTAGGAGGACAGGGTAACAGGACTGGTTTCTCTCGAAGTACCTGGCTTTGCAAACCATTAAGATCTGAGATTGATTTTCCTAGAAAAGACATTATGATTGGAAAGCATTTTTTAAAGATTTATTTATTTATTCTTAGAGAGAACCTCAAGCACACTGCTGAGCACAGAGCCCGACATGGGGCTCAATTTCATGACACCAAGATCATGACTTGAGCTGAAGTCAAGAGTCGGACGCCTAACTGACTGAGCCACCCAAGCGCCCCTGGAAAGCATTTTTAAGGCATTATGGTCTGTCTTGGAGTTTTGCCCTGTTAAATGGTCTGAATTATATCTTGCAAGTAACAGGTTAGAATTAAGGTTGGTTGGTTTGTTTGTTTGTTTGTTTGTTTTAAGCCAGTGAAGTGTCATTTCTTTGAAAGGAATCTCCCATTAATGGGCTAGGGCATGGATTGGATGGAGCCCAAAATCCCTTGCACATGGAGGCATATGTTCACCATATCTTACTGCATGTGTTTACAGTGCTGCTCATCCAGGAGATTAGGCAGCTGCATACTTCTTCCTGAAAAGCATGTTTCAGGACGCCTGGGTGGCTCAGTCAGTTAAGTGTCTGCCTTTGGCTCAGGTCATGATCTCGGGGTCCTGGGATGAGCTCTGCATTGGGCTCCCTACTCAATGGGAAGCCTGCTTCTCCCTCTCCCTCTGCCTGCTGCTCCCCCTGCCTTGCCTTGCACTCTCGCTGTCTCTCTGACAAATAAATAAAATCTTAAAAAAAAAAAAAAGATTAAGCATGTTTCAGCCCAGATCTTATAATACATCATTTACTACCCCTGTCATGCAAGGACACCAGATTAAGCCTATGAAAAAGAGAACATTGAAAATAAGTAAAAACAAAAGTGTCTGGGGGTGGAGGGTGGGGATGGAGTAGTAAAGGAGTTTTTGCTGGTTATGCTTCTGCTGTCTACAGATGCTGTTCACTTCATCTTTTCATTTTGACTTCTTGAATTGGCCCAAGTACATCTAGGTAGCCAGATTTCATTTAGCAGAGATTCAGACTTTCACTCTATGAAATTACAGACTAAGGATTTTTTTATCCTGAATTTTTATGTATGTCCCATCATCTTGTTCCACGTAGAATTTGAAGCAGGGATGCCTGCTTGAACAGCATACCTGTCCCTCTTAAGTTGGCAGGGATCCATTTCTGCAAGACTGAGAACACTTCTTCGTGGTGGGCTCTTCAAGCATCTAAGGAAGGGGCATCAAAGGCATGAAAAACCTCAGCCATTTCCACTTCTTGAATCCCAGGTTTCTGTTGTAAATTGCTTCACCGTTGATCAGATCTTTGCATAATTATGCCATTCTAGTTTTGGCTGAAAACTTACTCTGAGATAATTAGCCTATGCTTATTTAACCACCCCCATCACAGAGCTCTCCCCATCCCCTGTCATGTACTCCGTTTAACTTTAAAGAGTTAACATGTTTTGGATAGTTGTAACCAAATTTTTATTTTCCTTATAAAGTCAGTGTATG